TGTTGTCATTAAGGTACTTAACTACTTGAGAGTACACCGCCCTATCTAGAATTTTAGATATTATACTGAATATACTAACAGGCCTATAGTTGCTTACATCAGACCTACTATTTTTCTTGAAGATAGGAGTAACTCTGGCCTCCTTGAACCCCTCCGGTACGGTATTAGTGGTGATTGATAGATTTATTATGTGAGCAATAAGGATTGACAGTTCAGAAGCACCATCTTTTAGGAACTTAGACGGGATGTTATCCGGGCCAGTGCTCTTAGTTGGGTTTAACCTGCTTAGTTCTTTTTGAATAAAGTCATGAGATACATTTACTAATTGACAACTGTTTAGGGTTACCCCTTTATTGGTATAGTATGTTTGAAACTTATCAGTCTGTGTCAAAGGTATTTGATGCAGCTGGTAGTTTACTTGCTAGTGTTGATGCAACAGATGTGTAGTAGGAATTAAAACAATTTGCCACCTTAGATGTTTCATGGCATACCTCATTACCGATAGTGAGTACTATGTTAGACCTATCTACTGGCTTATGGCTATACCCCAACTGTTTTAGTTGTTGCCAGAGCTTTCTGGGGTTATGCTTATACTCTTCAATTTTTGAGCAATAGTGCTTTGCCTTTGCTCCTTTTATAAGTCTCTGTACTCTGTTCCTCACCCTTTGGAATTCATTTAGTGCTGCAATATCCTGTCTGTTTGCTTTAAATCTTTTTAGCAGCTGGTCTCTGAATTTCATATTATCTAATATCTCAGTATTCATCCAGGGTTCAGTTCTTCGTTTAATCCTAACCTCTTTAACTGGAGCAATATTATCAAGGATGGTAGTGAACATTGTTTTGAATTTTTCCCAGGCATCGTTTACGTCCGTGCAACTTGTTATCTCTGTCCAGTCACAATTGTGTAGCCTATTTACCAGTGTTTCTTTACTGTAGTTTCTAGTTGACCTCATTTTTATTGTCCTGTGTAGGCCTATCCTATCCCTAGTGATTTTCCTGGTGCAGTAAATGATGAAATGATCACTAAAACCTGTGGTAATGACGCCTGACTGACTAATGTTCTCAGAGCGGTTACAAAGTATGTGGTCAATTAGGGTGGCTGAGAACTGTGTGATCCGGGTTGGTGTATTAATTAGTTGAGTGTAACTATTTAATCCTAGAATTTGCTTATACCTTTTGCATAGCCCGTTATTTTGCTGCTGAAAACAGATATTGAAGTCTCCCAGTATTATTGTCTCGCAATTGTTTTCAAGTCCGGACAATACTCTGGAAAAGTCTTCTAAGAACTGGTCCTGGGTAGGAGGGCGGTAACTAGTTCCTACTAAGATGGGTTTGGTCTTGGGAAGCAGCACTTCAAACCAAAGGTCTCTTGGCTTCAAACCAAAGGTCTCTTGGTTTTGGGGCCACGGGTGAAGGCCCACTATGTAAAGCAGTGGTTCCTCAGGGCGGGCGGTGAGAGGGGCATCTGGGTGGGTCAGGTAATGATCGAAATGCGTAAATGGTGGAGCGGCAGGGGATTAATAGTGTGAGGACATGTTGCGTTTGTTGTTAAAGTTGAGAAATGTGCAACGGACCCGGGTGGGGCAAATGGTCAGCATATGTTGTCGTAGGGAAATTGTGCAGGGATTGTCTGTTTTTCCGCTGTATAATTGGGGGGAAATATTGGACGGTTTTTGTAAACTTAAGTTGATACCGAGGGTTCGTAAATTGGTGTACAGATTTGTCATGGGGATTTTAGCATCAAAATCGGTCTTAAGTAGGATGGGTTTGGTAAGGGAGGCGGATTGCTTACTTTGCAGTCTAGAAGAAACAGCTTTTCATGCAGTCTTCTACTTTTGTGATACCTAGGACAAAGTTCGTTTGTGGTTGGGGCGGGTTTTCGATTTTCTTAGTGGGGGAACTATCTCAACCTTATGGGTCTTAACATTGGACGTTAGCGGAGTATCAAGTGAGGTACGAAGAGCAATAATGTACGTGGTGACTGATTTCCTCTATATCTTGTAGGGTATGGGGGAAACCGGGGGATCAGTTAGGATCAGGGCAATTATGGCAGTTTGGAGGGATATGTTGTGTATCTTTATATGTGTATGCTTCTAGACTGTTGTATTCTGAGCACCTCTGCAAAAACAGTGATAATGTGCGAGTGTGGTGAAAGTGTTGAATGATGATGAAAGTATTTTCTTTTTGGGGATTTTCTTTCTTTTTTGAGTCACCCTGCCTCGGTGGGAGACGGCCGACTTGTTGAAAAAAAAAAAAAAAAAATCTACGTATTGTAGAAATAAACTCATATATGGTAGAAGTTGGGATAATAGTTTTCCTGCAAACTATCGGAGTCTTACTGTTCAGAGGTTGCTGCAACTCGGGGTGGGGTAAGGCAATGAGGGGCTGGACTTTCCCCGTGATGGCACCAAACGGTATGTTCCGGACTTCAGGGTAGAGGGCGGGATTTAGTGAGTGGCGTGTATGTATTATGGATGGTTCTGTGCGTCTGAGTGTGTATGGATGTGGCGTTGTGTGGAACTGAGATCTTGGATTAATCCTAAAATTGTCATGCATCTCGATAATACAGATAAAATGCAATATTTCGGAATATGTTCCAGCCTCTTGCAAGACTGAACCTGTTCCCGACTATGACCGGGGTTTGGTGAAGTATGTTGGGTCTTTCCTGGGATTCCCGTTAGGCTTTGTTTAGTCATATTGTAAGCGGATGTCATGCTGTTATCACCGCTAAAAGTACAACGTTATACTGGCCTTTTAGGGGAATGTTCATAAGCATACCTTTTGGTGATGTTTGAAAACTTTTGATGAAGGGCGAAAAGCTTCATTTGCCTAAAATTGTTTTGTATATGTAGTAGCGGTCACTGCTGTGAGGGGGAGGGGTTGGGATGTATAATGTCCTATATTGTAATCTTTGGACATTCAGGTTCCTTGGGCAGCAGCTTTTGCGGGGTAATATGTTGCTCTGTCACCCGGTGATATCACATGTATTTTTTTATCACTTATGGTGCATATAGTCAGTTAATGTTCAATTAAGCACCCTTTACTAATATCACTGTATAAAAGCAAGGTATATTTTTTGTGGGTTTATGATTAAAGAAACTAGATAGGGGGTTGGTCGGGGTATTAGGTGTCTTAGTGTTTCTTTGTATGTGATCATACATTCTAGATATGTAAAAGTCTTATGTTAATTATTAAAGGCTTTTGCATATTTTGATCCATTTTAAATATTCACACACAAAAAAAAACACCATGATTCAGTTTCAAGAGTCATGTTGTGTAAGAATGGTATATAATACCGACGAGATGAAATTAAGACACATGTGCAACATCTGGGTATCTTTATTGTAGACGTTTCGCCATCCAGTGGCTTTATCAATACAAATTCTAGGACATAACTTGAAGACAGTAGAACTAGGTACAGAAGATGAGGTAATCAGTCCCTCAACCTAGGAGTAGGTGCGAAGAACACCATAGTCGTGGAGATTCTGAAGCAGAAGAAAGGAGCCTGGCGCTTATATAGTAACGTCAGGTGTAGCAGACGAGGGCATAGTCACTGGTAGGCGGGATACCCCAGTGGAAGTAGGTCCTTCCCAAAGAGATGGGTTAGTTGTAGTAGTAGTTGTCGTAGCCGTGAAGGTTATGTACATGTCCTCAGAATCAAGATTCCATGATGTTGCAGTGTCTGACAAGTTGCACATAACCTTCACGGCTACGACAACTACTACTACAACTAACCCATCTCTTTGGGAAGGACCTACTTCCACTGGGGTATCCCGCCTACCAGTGACTATGCCCTCGTCTGCTACACCTGACGTTACTATATAAGCGCCAGGCTCCTTTCTTCTGCTTCAGAATCTCCACGACTATGGTGTTCTTCGCACCTACTCCTAGGTTGAGGGACTGATTACCTCATCTTCTGTACCTAGTTCTACTGTCTTCAAGTTATGTCCTAGAATTTGTATTGATAAAGCCACTGGATGGCGAAACGTCTACAATAAAGATACCCAGATGTTGCACATGTGTCTTAATTTCAAGAGTCATGTAGCTTTTTTATAGTAATTTTATATAACCATAATACCATTGAGTGTGCAATCATTAGTTTATATGACATTGTTTTTTGTATATAAAGTTTCATACATGATATGAATAAGAGTGTCAGGTTTTGGATTATATAGCTATTTTGTGTTTAAGATATGTTCAGGTTGTCCTCTGTTTAGTTATATGTATGTTGTTGTCTTATATAATGCTTCACGTTTCTTGTTTTAAGTCAATTATGTATACCTTACATGTATACTGTATTTTTTAAATAAAATATAAAAAAAAAAAGTTATTAGGTTAATTTTAAGCCTGCCCATAATGCTCTGCATACAAGGGGCTTTTGGCATGTTCACCCAACCACTATAATTCCTTATACAACTATGTATCATGTCCAAATAAAATATTGTATTGTATTGAAATGAACTGAAAGCCAAAAATGCAAAATTATCTTCCACATACATTATTCCAAATATTATTTTTTTTTATAATTAGGGTCAAAAGGTTAGGGAACACCTGGATATATGAAGCACTTGCTGCTGAAATTCCGTAAGTGCCAATTTTAAAAACTTAATTGTGACTGTTGGCAGAGGTATGTAAGTGTGCAAATCCAGTGTTGCCATTAACTGAGAGAGCTTTGCTAAAGACAGTCCTACAGTATTGGTTATCTCGTAGCATTTTCTACTCAAACTGTGTGAGCTACTAAGGTCAAGAATGTCCTCATTTTCAAGGCAGATTTAACTTCTATCTTGCTGCCATTAGACAAAGAGGAACAAAATAAACTTAAATGAAGCAGGAATGCATTTTTGAACATGAATGCATTGTCAGCCAGGATGGTGCTTACTGAGTTTCTGCAGGAAAAGCATCATATACTACATATAAATGTTGGTCAACCTTAGGAAGAGATGTCTAGTTTAACAATAATGATCTACAGGCTGATTCACTTAACATATGATCTATCACAGCTCCAGGCCCCCCAGAGTTCATCAGATCTGTCCGAGAATACAGACAACTCGACCTATTCATCGGCATGCCAACTGATCCTGGTGGAACTCTACGTAACTGTTCCTTAACCCTTAGTGAAAGCAGCCAGCCCTGCCATGTGGATGTCATTGTTGATCAACTCACACCCTGTAAGGTAAAAGCTTGTTCTTCATATTTTAAATAACATGTTACAGTATAGGTGTGGTACATAGGGGAGGGGTGTACTCGCCTATATGTAGTTGCAACTTCTGGCCCCACCTCTTTGCTGGTCACTATTAGGTTCACTCCTGCCTTCGAGAAACTTACTGTGCCACTTGTTAAAGCTATGTATAGATCCTGCCTCTACTACTTTACTCTAATGATTGTTCCACTTCCTGACTAAGGCTGTAAAAATACTTCCTAACACCCCAGTGACTCGTCTGAGTTTTTGACTTCCAGCTGTTCCCTAATGTTCCTGTTTATCATCACAAACAATCTGCCCCTATTCACCTTGTCACTTCCTCCCAATATTTTGTATGCTGTTATCATATCTTCCCTGGTCCTCCTGTTCTCCAGTTGAGTTCAGTTAACCTCTCTTCAAAGTACATACCCCTTAGCTCTGGGACTAGTCTCTCTCCTGCCTTATTTCTGGTACCTTGTCGTGGAACTCCAGTAGGTTTGTGACGAGATTTTCCGTCTGTAAATCTGTGCTGGTTGTTATGCATGAACCTGTTGCTTGCTAGGTGTTCCACCACTTCTGATAATTGCCTCCATAACTTGTCAATAACCATAGTTATTGACAATGTACTTATATAGCTCTTAACCCTAACCATAGTTAGGGTTGTTAGCAAAATGTACTAAGAATCAAACAGAATCAAGGAATTACCACCAACAACTGCAGTGTAAACAATACAAGTGAATGCACACTACATACAATGCTGTCTATGGCATTTATAATTTTGTCCGGACTAGGAGGTGCTGGATGATCTGTTGCTGGTAAATTGGTGTTGTACCTGTACTATTGTAACTGTAACAATTTAATCCTATTTCTGTGTTTTAAAAGTGGTTCATAAATATATAAAATTTTAAATTGAGATGTAAAAGAATCAAGTGAATTCTTTCCTTTATCCATTACCAAAATAACATTGGCATAAAATACATATGATGCTGCATGATAATGTACTGTGCTTTAAAGAATGCTTAAAAAGTCAAACTTTCCAGTGATGATTATTATTTTCAAGTGCTAAACCCATAGGAATAGAGGAATAGAAAGCAATCATATTTCTTCCAAGAAAGTAGTTTGTAGATCTAATAACATGGATCAAGAGCTCTCCATTAGCATCAAGGTGTCCCTCATGGAAGGTAATAAGTGGGGAAGTGGAACAGAATTCTTCCTCCGTAAGCCATGCGTGTCGTAAGAGGCGACTAAAATGCCGGGAACAAGGGGCTAGTAACCCCTTCTCCCATATAAATTACTAAATTTAAAAGAGAAACTTTCATTTTTCTTTTTTTGGCCACCCTGCCTTGGTGGAATATGGCCGGTGTGTTGAAAGAAAGAAAGAAAGTATTATTTTGTAAATATATATTTTTTTTAGACTTTCAGCAAGCGTGTGTGAGTGTGTTAGATAGGAGTGAGTGGAGGCAAATGGTTTTTATGATTTGACGTGCTGTTGGAGTGTGAGCAAATCAATATTTATGAACGAATTCAGGGAAACTAGTTAGCTGGACTTGAGTCCTGGAGGTGGTAAGTAGCATGGATGTGCTCTGGAGGAGGGGTGTTGATATGTTGCAGTTTTTGAACTGTAATGTCAGCATGCCTCAGGCAAGACAGTGATGGAGCAAGTGATGATGAAGTGTCTCTTCTCTTTTGGGGCATCTTGCCTCGGTGGGAAATGGCCAATTTTTTTAAGTAACACAGTACTAAGTGTGATACTCATCTTGCAGTTTGAAAACCTCAAACCAGGAAAGACATACCAGGCAAACGCATCATGTTGCAACTCAATGTTTTGTGGGGAGACACGGCAACAACCAGTGGCCACAAAGCCAATCAAACCAGAGATTTCCAGTGATCCAACTATTTTGAAGAAGACAAACACAACCATTACTCTCGGACTGCCTTACTTAAATACGTACGGTGATGGTAAAAGGTGAGTCTCATTTCTTATTGGGGTTCCTACAAGTGAATTGTTCTTGCATGTTTGATGGTGACATGTGAAACTCCCTCTTACCCGACAGTGATCAGAAATAATTTCACCTTCCTGCATAGTGTAAATTGTTATAGTATCAAGTGAGTACTTTTTAACCTTTTCTTTCTGTGTCTTGCTTAATAATACATCAACACAAATGCATGTCTGTACAGTATGTGCACCCCTATACATTCATACACAGTATTGATTAGATTGGTTGCTTGTTGTAATACCTGTGTGGAGATATACTTGTATATCCTCTGTATGTAACAAATGTTCTCCATGGAAAAGTGGAACAGAATTCTTCCTCTGTAAATCATGCGTGTAGTAAGAGGCGACTAGAATGCCAGGAGCAAAGGGCTAGTAACCCATTCTCCTGTATACATTACAGTACTAAGTTTATAAAAGAAAAACTTTTGTTTTTCTTTTAACACCACCCTGCTTCAGTGGGATACAGCCGGTGCATTGAAGGAAGTAATAAATGTGCTCTATAGAGGGCTAGTCTCACTATGTTAGCTCTCTATAGAGAGTTAGTCTCTCTGTCTAGTGATAGCCAGCTTTGTGCCTCTATAGATAGCTAGCTTTTGTATGCCTCAGTAGAGCAAGCCTTTGTATGTCTCTTTAGAGGTAACCTCTGTATATCTTCTAATGTATAATAAATAGTATGGATTACAAATCATGTACATTTGTGTAAAGCATCAGGTATGTAGATGACAACTATTTGTGGTAATATAAATTCGTAGGTAACTGATGTACCTCCAATTTTAATACTAAATGTGTTAGTACAGTTGTGCATTTTTGCTCCCCCATAACAGCTTTGTAGATAAATTAGCCATATAGTATAACGAAGACTAATTAACCTTTGTGTACCCCACTGTCTAGTAAACCAGGTTAACCCGTGTCTTTCTTGATTCATTACTGAATATTCAAATTCTTTTATCATTTGTCCAGTTTTATGGCTGTGGTGGTTCACCAGGCAGAGAAACCAATCCACAACATTTCTGGACGAACATTCATGCTGCTGCAGAAAAATTTGCCAGCCTCCGTTAAGAAACACTCCAGGCATGCCAAGCGGCAGGCTGAACAGAGTCAGTCTTGCCAAGAGATAGTGTGGGTTGCTGGGCTGTTGAATCAGGTACAGAAGACAGTTTACCCATTTATATATCTTTTGATGTCTGCTCAGGGATCTAACATTTCTGAAAGAAAATGGTATAATCTTCTAATGTTTGAATTGCCTTCAAGTTCTAAAAGATTTTATTCAGACCTTTACATATACATGAATATTTTTTCACTCGTATCATTCTCAGGAAATTTCAGGTTCATTTTGTTTGTGCTTCATAGTTATTTATACATGCCTATATTTATACAAAAAAATTATTCATTACAGCATCAGTAATAACTAAAATAATTATTTCTTATCTCATTATGTCTCACCTTTCTCTCATTTCCTATCTCATGTATATATGCACAGTAATACCCTGGTTTTTCATCCTTAATCCATACCAGAAGGTCAGTCAGAATCCAAAATGGACAAAAACCGAAGTAATATTTCCCATAAGAAATAATGTAAATCCAATTAATCCATTTCAGACACCCAAAAATATTAACAAAAAAATGCATTTTATAGAGAATAACTATACATGTAGTTTTACATACAGAAAACAGTAAGAAATAAATATAAAGCACTAATTTTACTGGATAAACGAACATACCTTTATTGAAGACTCTTGTTGGCATGTGGAAGAAGGTGAGGAGGGCAGAGAGAGAGAGAGAGAGAGGAGAGATTGTTGTTTGGAAGGGGGATCCCCATCCATAAGGACTTCAGGTATCAAAGCCCTATCAAAAGCCCTGTGAAAGCCCTCCACAACACTATCTCCTGCTAACTTTTTCGTTGATCCACACCAACAACAACAGCTTCACATCCTCAATTGTTTGTGATCTCTGTTTCGTTAGCATGTTTACTCCTTTCACAACATCAGCTTCCTTGATTTCTGCTTTCTTTGCTAGGATGAAACTGATTGTCGATGAGGACTTTCCATATATCCTGGCGAGCTCGGTAACACGTATGCCACTTTCATATTTTGCTACAAGTTCTTTCTTGAATTCCATCGTGTTTCTCACCTTCTTTACCAAAGGGCTGACACTCTAAACTTTCTTTGGCCCCATGGTGACTTATTTCACAGTCGCAATCAATAAACAAACACAAAGAACAGACGAGTCTGTACGCCTGAGAGTGCACCCCACCCCCCCCCCCCCCCCCCCAAAACCTTATTTTTTTTCCAAAAATTTTTTATACAGCTTTTTTTTTAAAAAAAAAAAAATTATTTTCCCATATTTAAAAACTTTTAATTTTTCTTATCTCATTTTTCCCAATTTCCTTTTTCATCTATTTAAAAAACCCAGAAACGTTTTAATCCAAATTTCCCCCAAAGGGAGTAAATCCAAAAGGAAAAAAACCAATAATATTTCCCAAAAAATTATAAAAAATAAATTAATCATTTCAACACCCAAAAAAAAAAAAAAAAAAGTTTTTTTAAAGGAAAAAACAACTTATTTTATTAAAAAACCCGTGAAAAATAAAGCCCTTTTTTTAGGAAAAGAAAAAAAAAAGATTTGTTGGGGGGGGGAAAAGGGTTTGGGGGGGGGGGCAAAAAGGGGAAAAGGGGGAAAAATTTTTTTTTTGGGGGGATCCCACCAAAACAGGTTCAAACCCTTAAAAAGTTTGGAAAACCCCCCCCAAACATTCCCTTTAAAACCTTTCCAAAAAAACCCCCTTAAATAATTGTTTGTGTTTTGTTTCTTACCCCCCCCCCCCCCCCCCCCCCCCCCCCCCGGGCCCCCCCCCCCCCCCCCCCCCCCCCCCCCCCCCCCCCCCCCCACCCCCCCCCCCCCCCCCCTTTTTTTAAAAAAGGGGTAACCCCTTAAATTTTTTTTTGGCCCCAGGTTTATTTCCAAGTGTTTCAATAAAAACCCAAAAAGGGGGAAAAAACAATTTTTCCCCCAAAGGGTGCACCCGGGGGGGGTGGCAATCTAAAAATTTTCGACAGATATACGCCCGGGGAAATTTTTAAAAAAAAAGGGGTGCTCGAAACCCCGAATTTACGATTTCCAACGGGGGGAAAAAATTTCTAAGGGGGGAAAAAAAAAAAATTGTGGGAAACCCATTTTACGAAAAAGATCAATGGAAATTTTTTTTGGTTGGCAAACTTTCTTCAAAAACAGTTTTTGTGGGGTGGAAAATTTTGTAAAAACTTTGGGGGTTTTTTTTAACCTTCCTGCCCCTTTTCACAAAAAGGGGCCTGGTGAGGGGCCCCTGGGTTCACCGGGGCCCCAACAAGTGGAAAAAAACCCAGTCCCTAAAGGCTTCCCTTATTGGGTTATCCGGGGGTGCTAACCCCCCGGAGTTAAAATTTTGAACATAATTTTATCTCATCTTCAGTTGCCTTCTGAAGTATCAGGCCAAGTACGAAATTTTAGCATTAGTCTGGTATGGGCCAAAGTGGCTACACCCAGGCCCTGTCCTTGTCAGGTTCCCCGACCTGTAGGCCCCCCCGCCCAGTTGATTGTGCTCATTGGACCACATCGTAATCCTCCCAAAATTTTCCCGGGTTTTTAAGCTCTTTGATTTTTCTAACTTTTTTTTTTTTTAACAAGTCGGCCGTCTCCCACCCAAAGGCGGGTGACCCAAAAAAAAAGAAAAAACCCCAAAAAAAAAAATTTTCCATATTTAAAAAAAAATTTCATCACACCAAACATTTTTTATCTCAAAAACAGTTTAGAAGCAAACAAAAGAAAAACCCTATCCCTCCCAAATTTCTAAAATTTTTTATAAATATTAAATTTTGAGGAACTTTTAATGTCGCGAAGAAAGGGAAGCGGTTAAATTTTATGCACTGGCCAGGGAAATATACCCTCTTTTAGGAGTGAAGAAAAGAGGATTTGGGTGGGGGGAAGGGATGAGGCATTACGTTGAATGAAAGGGGGTAAAGAGCTGGAACTGATGGGATTATGACGAAAGTTAAAAGCGGGGGGGGTATAGTGTTGGAAAGGTTGGTTTTTTTTAAAAAATTTTTTTTTGGTGGGGGGTTTGGAGCACAAACGCCCCGGGAGGATACCATCCTGCCAAGGAGTGTAAAATGAAAACCTGTAATTGTTTTACTGATGGTTTTGGAGCTCGTGTCTTTTTTTGTTTCTAAAAAAGCAAGATTTCAGGTAGTCTTTGGGACTTTCTACATTAGGTCACACTGCACAAAAGTACAAGCATATATATTCACCCCCTTGGGTTTTCTTTATTTTTTTTCTAGTTCTTGTTTTGTTTTTTCCTCTTATCCCATGGGGGGAAATGGAAGAGAATTCTTCTGAAGCTATGGTGTTGTAGGGCAATAAATGCCGGGAGCAAGGGGCTAGTAACCCCATCTCCTTTATATATTACTAAATGAAAAAGAAAAAAAACTTTCGTTTTTTTCCCTTTTTGGGCCACCCGCCTCGGTGGGTTCGGCCAGTGTGTTGAAAAAAAAAGAAGAAAAGTTATGAAAAAAGGGGGAAATACCTAGTTTGGCGGGGGGAGGTGTTAGTCCCTTTATATAAGGGGAAAGGGGGACAAAAGAGATTGTAAAAATTTATAGAGGAATAAGTTTATGTGTGATACGGAGAAGTGTACGGTAGGGTATCAATGAAAGAATTAGAGGTGATGAGTCAGAATGTAGAATTGCTGATGAGCAAGGAGGGTTTTAGAGTGGGTAGGGGATGAGTGGTCAAGTTCGTTTGCTTTGAAGATATATGTGAACAGTATTTAGATAATAAAGGTAGGGAAGTTTTTATTGCATTTATGGATGTTAGAAAAGGATATGATAGAGGGATAGGGGAGCAATGTGCGATTGTTGCAAGTATACAGAATAGGTAGTAAGTTATAATTGCTGTTAAGAGTTTTTATGAAGATAGTGAGGTCAGGTTAGGGTGTGTAGAAGAGGAGATACTTCCCGGTAAAGAGGTTTTTTCTACACCTTGCGTTCTTAGTCAGGATGGTATAATTGTCACCTTGGTTGTTTAATATATATAGGATGGGGTCATAAAAGGAGTAAATGCTAGGGTGTTCAGGAGAGGGGCGGGGGATTAAATTCTGGGGGAATCAAATACAAAATTGGGAAGTGACAGTTCCTTTTGCTGATGATACTGTGCTTAACCCTTTGACGGTTTCGACGTATAAATACGTCTTACGAGCCAAGGTTTCTGACGTAGTTATACGCACAAATTCTAGCGGCTTTCAATCGAGAGCCCCACCAAAGGCCTGGATTAGGCTACACAGGACGAGAATGGGTTCAGTGGTCGGTGTGCACCCTGTGAAAAAATCTGGGACCTAGGGTGCATTGTGGGAACGCCATGTTGTCAGTCATTTTTTCACTTGCTCTCGGTAAGAAGTTCCTCACTCATCGGCGGATTGGAGGTCTTTTGTTCCCAAGTGATAGCTCTAACAGCGATTGAAAGTGTCAAGTGACAGTGAAATTCAAGGGTTTTCCAAGTGAGAGTGTTACGAAAAGTGCCAGATAACGTAAATAGTCGACGAAAACCAGATGACCCACTACCTCGACTCTGGTGCTGTGCCGGCTTGTTACACGTTCCGTTCGCTGTACCAGGTCGAAAGAGGAAACTATTTGGTCGTGCTACAACCACACCTTCTTGCATAGCCGTGAACGGGCGCGTGATACGTGATTTCAAGGTCATTGAATAAGCATGTTTCTACTGGACAGTGCGAGTGAATATTCCCCAGTGAAGCGCCAGTATGTACGAACGTACTAGCATAGCTGGTCTGGTAGTGTTTCATATGTTGTTCCAGGGGGAAGAAGAAAAACTCTGGGAGCACATCCCGTGGGGCCCAAACACCACGCCCTGATAGTTGAAGATGACGATATTGTAAAGATGGGTATGACTGGTGACATTGAGGGAGGAGGCAGGTGGTGGTGGATAGTGAGGGTGGCAGGCCATGTGGCACCATCACGGGCCCGCTACTAGCCACGCGGCTGACTCAGCTGAACAAACAGCCTTCACCTTCCCCCACACTGCCACAACCTGCACCACCACAACCTGCCACAAGCCACTACCACGGTACAATTATTCCAGACCCCCACCAGCAGACCG